AAATAATATCATCATGGTTGTTATTATCAATACCATCATTATTTATATAAATATAACTATTTGCAATATCAGCTTCACTTTCTAAATTAACTATATTATTCATATTGATAATATCACTATCATCAAATGAGTTCAAAAAACTATTTATCAAATCATTTGAATTGTATTTGTAATTTTCATCAATTATTTGATTTGTATTATTTTCTACATCTAAGTGAATTTGGCTTTGGTTACCATCAGTAAATATAGAATTATTTAAGTCAATTATTTCCTCTAATACAAAATTATTTTTTTTATCAATCTTGTAATTAGGTTCCACTTCATAAAAATCACTCTCTGATTCACTTATGTCATCTGACACACTATTCTCCTCCTCCACCTCCTCTGCCACATAATCATAATCATCATCATCCAACCAAAGCTTTGCATTTGATATTAAGTTTTTCAATTCTTCATCCGAGATATTTTGACCAACATATTTTAATTCTTTCTCAGTATTAGATAAATGATAGGAATGTATTTTCAACATATTTTCAATTGTTGTGATATTTAAATTTTGCCTTTTTTTTCCATAATACCAATCTAAGATTGAAAAAGACCTTTCACAAGTTGCTGAATGTGGAACCACTGAAAATAATTTTATTGCAAATTCTTGCAAATAATCATGATCTTCTTCACACGTATACCACCAATTTAAAACATTACCACTTTCAAAACTGAAAGGTGAATTATATGATGAATTTCTTAATTTATAATTTCTCAATTGTTCCAATAAAATATTTTGTTCTCTTTCAGATCTCTTTAATTTTTGGAAATGATTCACCATGAATTCAACAATTATTTTAAAGTGACCTTTTTTGAGACCAGTTCCTAAAAAAAATAATAAATAAATGAGTATTTCTAATTTACAAACATTAATATTGACAAATATCTAACCTTTGTATCCAGGGTGCAAAAAATAGGCAACCAAATATTCATCAGAGCTAAATTCAAGCCACCTAGAATTAAATTTTCTTATACAATAATTACAATAACTGCAATGAAAATGACTTGGTATAGTTTTAATTGAAGCAGCAAGTTTTATAAGTTGATAGTAGCAGTCAGCTAAATTTGTTTTATCTGATTCTAGAATTTCAATCCCTTCTTTTATTGGTTTTAGAATTAAATTTAAGTTTTTTAAATTCTTAAAAAAATTTCTTCCGTTTAAAATATTCAAAACATCATCATTAGTTATGATATCAGGATTCTCGTTTAATATCTGAATAAATAAAAGGGTAAATAAAACAAGTTGATTAAAATAATGCATTTACTACAAATTATCATCATTACTTACTAATTGAAATACAGGTTGCAATCTTATAATAGAAGTTGTGGATGCATAAATTGAGGTCCATCTGGTTTCAGTGTACTTTTTTAGGCTTCCTCCAGTAATATTTAGCGTTTTAATGTAGCCTTCAAGCAAATTGCTGGCTTGGTATGATTTTTTAAAAAATTGATAATTTTTTTGCACTTGAAGACTAAAGTTTTTGCAAATTCATGTTTTAGTAAATCTTTTGTTATAAGATTAAAACAGTGAGCAATACACCTAATGTTCAATATTGATGGATATTTAGTAGTTATTAACTCTCGGGCAAGTTTAACATTACTAGCACCATCTGTTACAATAGCTGAGAGTTTTTCTACACCAATTTCTAAAATAATTGATTCAATTTGATCAGACAAAAAAACTCCAGTATGAGAACTTCCTGAAAAATCACATAACTTGTATGTATAACTTTTTCTTTGAGGAGTTATAACCACAAAATTCCAGAATGACTTGTTCTTAGGATTAGACCACCCATCTAGAGCTAAATATGATTATGGATATGGTTATTAATTAACAATTATAAAATTAATTAATAAAAATAAAACACTTAATAATAAATTGTTAAAAATATATATTTACCAAGAGTCATATTTTTATTTTTTTCAATATCCTGGTCTATTTTGCTAATCACATGAATCACTTCATCATTTAAATAATTAATTGATAATTTTTTACAATTTGATGGTTGATAAGCTGGATGTAATTTTTTTAAAAAATCTACAACATATGGGTTCTCAATAGTGTTATATGGAATGCCAGCCATTACAAAAGTATGAATTAAAGATTTATTGATGCTTTCTTCTCTCTCTTTTGTAAGGGTTTACTTTCATAGAATTCAGATAAAGAAACTTGATGATTATTTAAATTTTTGTTATTGGATGTTGAATAATGAGAATCTTGAGCTTTTTTTTGATTGTTTCTAGACCTACTCTTTTCAATTATCGAATTCAAATAATATTTACGAATTTCCTCATCACACTCAACACATTCTCTTGCTAAATGCTTTTCAAGAACATTCGGATATCCAACTTCAAAATATTTCAAGCAGTAATTGCACTTAGCATTGTAATGGCCTTTATTATTTTTAATTTCAGGTCCTTTTAAAAAATGTTCCCAAACTTGAGATAATGGTCTTCCGCCAAATGTCTTAAACCTGCACCTTCACTAGGAGACAAATCTGTATCAGACATTAGAAAATATATATTTAATTTTATAAAGTTGGTTATAACAAGATGTAATTAATAAATCAATAATAAGATGGGAGAAAAAAAAATTTTTTTATTTGTTGTTTCGGGAGAGTTTAGGTTTCTGGAGTTTCTGGAGTTTCTGGGGGAGTTTAGGTTTCGGGAATTTAGGGAGTTTAGGTTTCGGATTTTTCACAGAAACTAGGTTCTTCTCCTGAAACTATTTCGGGAAGCCAAAAGAGTTTCGGGTCACATCATTGTTTAGTAGAGATTAATGACAATTCTCCCGGAACGGGCGGAATCGCTCAAAACGTGTGGATTCGCCCAGGTACAAAGTGAACGAATTCGCGCAATCTGAGCGAAAACGCACAATTTGAGCGGAATCGCCCAAACCGAGCGGAATCGCGCAATTCGGGCTAATATGTAAAGAACTTGATTTCGACCTAATGTAAAAGTAACTTTCTCATAAGTTAATTAGTTTCGACTAAATAAGACTAAATAAATAAAATAGAAATATTTTATTTAAAATTTTTATCTTCTTTAACCAAAATTATTCGCTAATAACAAAATCAATTCGTTGATCCCTATTCATTCTGATCCACGCAAAAACAAAAATAATTGTTATCACCAATTAAAATACGCTCTCCCGAATTTAATCGGTGACAATATCAAGTCTATGCATAAATGAAATTTTTAATAATGTGTGTCTACTCAGATCTTGGGGGTTCACAAGAATAAATTATTTTTCCTGATTATCAATTATGGTTCCTTATGAATAATAAACCTGATGTTAATCACCAGTGTCATATTTAATTAAAATTTCCTATTACAAACATGCAGTCAGGTGCTTTCACACACTTCAGCACCATGGATTTTTTTTCCACAGTTGAAATACCCCACATGTTGGAAGGCTTTGGTCAAACTTTCCCTTATCTTCCCCTCAGACCATGCTTGGCTGTTACTATATGGGCATTGATCACTGATAGCTGATGCTTGTGCGATGATTGTTTTGTGTTATCACCCTCTCTCGCTAGAATAAAGTTGATTTAAATAACAAGTTCAGTTGGTCAAACAAAAATTAAAGAAAAACAGAAAATTTATGAAAATGATTAATTTATAACATACCAAACAAAATCTGAACCATTTTATTTTACAGCTTTCATCTTGATGTCAGTGATCATGGTGACTATCACAATAGAAGTGGGCAAAATCGAACTACCACCTATATACTTGTAAGGTACATGCACTTGTTGAGCTACACTCCTCTATCCTAGGGTGGGTTATATGGGCAAAGGCCCTCATTTAAAAAATAACAAGTTCAATTGGTCAAATAAAAATTAAAAGAATGGGTAAATTATTAATTTATATGTAACATATATAAAGCTCCTTGCAAGCCAAATAACTTAGTAAGCTCTCAAGCCAGCTTGCGAGCTGGCTCATGTAAAGCCTTAAACATACTAAACAAAATCTAAACCGTTTTATTTTACAGCTTCCTCCTAACATCAAAGCTCAAATGCAATTTCAGGGTCATCAACCCTGCTCTGAATTGCAACCTCGTGTGCTTGAAACAAGTTGCAGATTCTCTTAATATTCCTCCAGAGTTGCGACTTGATCACAGAGCCATCCTTACCTAGAGGTGAGATTGTTGCAGATGACTTTTTCAGCTAACATGGCGGCAGCCTTATCTGGTTTGGGAAGATTAGGAAAGCATCATTGACAATTGATACAGTCTCAGTAAACCCCAGAGCATGTCCTTCCCCCCTGGAATTCAACATCATCATATCGGGGGACACTAGTCAGATTAGCCTTATGTACATGAAGAATACATTGAGAATGACTGTAAAGTGTTCAAGGTAGCATGCATGCTTCAACGCCTGCTATTTTCCTGTAATCAAACATTGCATATTTGAATTGTCTCTTTTTCAACAGTGTGCTGCCTTGACATCTTGTAATTATAATAATATAATATTATTATTATTGATTACGAAAAGTAAAATATTATCAATGAAAATCTTGTAATTACCCAGCAATGATCTGCTCCACGTTTTGATTCCAATTAAAATATTTATAAACTAAAATAAAAATATCAATACAAATAAAAAATAGTACCTCTGGTTGGTTATTAACACGATTATTTAGGAGACCCAAACCAAACCAAACAACAATACTCATGTTTTGTCACCTTGGACTCTGTAAAAAATTAATTGTTTTCCAAAAAAAAAAAAAAAAAATTCAATTCACGTCTGTCCTCCCCAAAAAAAAAACCAATAGGATAAATAATTAATGTGTACGTGTCGATCAAATCACAGCTTCTTTTTATTTTATTTTATAAACATGTCACGAAACAAGCAAAGAAAATAACGAAAAAGAATTTGCCAGGTAAGTGTTTTAAGGATGGTGGTGTTGGTTATCGCCACTTGTCATCACTCTAGTAGTTATTAATAAAAAGAATGGTGATGGTATATAAAAGGGATGACAATGTGATTATTGTTGATACTCATGAATTAACTTTGATTTATTCTTAAGCTGACAACAAACAAAGAGAATAAAGAAGTAAATTATATTCTTTTTATTTGATAAAATTGATTTTATGGTATTGATCCTAATTTCTGCTTATAGGAAAATAAAAATGAAAATGAAGTAGAGATTAGAAAATTGAGGAAGGAATTAAAAGTATTGGAAGAAAAATTGACTTCAGGCAAAGATCTCATAATGCAAATAACTTGTTGGTTCACTTATTCACTTTTATAATAATTTTTTTTTTATCTGTTATATTTATAATTAAGAAACAAAAGATCTGCCTATTTGTAAATTATTAGTTGGAAAATACAAATGCACATTTTTTTCGAGAAGAAGAGAGGGAATATTTTTGTGGAAAGATCTTGAAGAATCTATAAAAAAATATTCAAATGAAATTCTGAATGATGAAAGTATAACAATTTTGCCAACATTTGTTGAAAATTTAAAAATATATGATCAAGATACTTTAGATGCTTTATTAGATAAGTATATGAAAAACTCCAATATAAAACATTTGAATTCCGAGTGACTCCAGGTATGTTGTCTATCTAAAATATGTGTATGTGTATGTGTCCTTCATTTGGTTTTTATTAAAGCATCATTTAAACTTATATTACCAGTACAAAAAGAATTTTCCAGTTATTTGAGCTTCACAAAAGTTACTAAATTATATGGAATCCAAGTGCCAACAATACAAGATCTAAAACAATTTGAACCAGGTAAAAACGTTTGCATCTATGACTAAATTATAGTTTTCTAGCATTAATAATTTCACTTTTGTTCTTAAAACATTAGGAACTTATTCATGGAATCCTGAAGATATTTGTGACAAAATGGTAGTCACTGTATTGCAGATTTGAAGGTCAGAAACCATTTAATTGATTCAGCTGAAATGATTCAATAATTAAATTTTTTTGTGTTTTTATTAGCTAAAACCACAAAATTTTGGTGGAACAGGATCTGCCAATGAACCTACAATAGCTGAATTTGTATCAGCTGTTATGCACAACATTATTGGAAGTTTAAATGGATCTAATTTGTATTCCCAATTTACCCTGTCTGGTATATATCGTCATGGTTGTGTGGATCAGAGTTGGCAAATGTGCAGTCCATTGGTGGTCGATTGGTGGTCCATTGGGTCCATTAGTGTAATGCTTTAACCATGTTTAGTATTTTATTAATGGCAATGGACCAGTCCAACATCCATCTGTTCTCAATGGACCAGTCAATCCTGGTGTGAAATATGCCATCAAGCAACATAATGGACTCCTTTGCATTATGGAAATAAAAGCTTTAGAACTTGAACTCGGAATAACATACAGTTAGAAGCAGCAATATATGTATGTTTTATTTTTATTTTTTTGTTGTTTTTTAGCATTCTGTAGTTGACATCCATATATATTTTCTTAGTTTAATAGGCAATTTAACTATAATGATTCTCTTAGTGGTGAGTATTTTGATTATGTATATGGCATTGTGACTACTGGTATTCAATGGGTATTTCTTATATTTTCTTCCAAGTTTAAAGCTGCAGCTTCAACTAGAAACATATTACAACTAAATATATCAAGCGAAAATGTAAATGAAGAACAATTAGCAATGGATCTTAAGAAAATTTTTTCAGTAATCCTGTGGATGTTAGATGATAGAATTCATAGTATTGGAAGTTCTTTGATGATATTTTAACACAAAGTTACCATTAAAATACATATTATTTTTTAATAACAGGACAAAATTGATATTTTTTTAACTTAGTTATTAGTAATTTTTATTGTTGAGCAGAAAAACAACTTATGCTATCTTAAAAAAAAAAGAAAATCCTCTTTACAAATAACAAAATTTGTTTGTTCAGAGTTTTATTTTTCATTAGTTCTCTAACAAAAATAATCTTTACCTAATATTTGTTGATGAAATTATTATCTCAATAAGTGAAAAACAATGCTTAAAATAATTTGTAAGTCTATTATGTGTTGTTTATTCTATTTATCCTATTGTTACTGCGCTTATCCTTGTCATTATTTATCACTTAAGATTTTTATTATTGCTTATTTAACTTGATAAAAATTCAAAAAAACGAACTTTTTGGGTTTTATGTAGCGGTATTGTAACACAATTGTGATTTTAAAAACAATATTGATCCCTGAAATTCTTGGTAATATATACCAATGTTCACTTTGTCTTGTTTTGTTGCAGTATTCCCCAAATAACAATTTTTAATATATGAAAATAATTTACATTAAATAAATGAGAGAGAAATTTATTTGAATCAATGTAAACCTATCTATAAAATAGGGTAGATTTATAACATAATTTTATGGTTATCATACAGCAAAAGACAAGGAGGGTGGCAAATTAAGCATTTAAAAATTTATCACGTGTACAAATTTTAGCCAATAAAATTTAGGGCTATGTGAGAACATATCACGTGAAGCATTTTAACCAATGAAATAAGAGTAATTAGTAAAAATTTATTTTTCTATACTATAGCAGGCGGCAAACTTTGAAAGTGATATATAAAATATTACAAAATAGTAAAATTTTAAACCATTATAACTTTTGACTTCTAAAGAATTGTGAGTTGATTGCCCCTGAGGGGCAGATACTATTTTGGTAGTTGACGGCCTTTGCAGTCGTCCCTGTATAATTCTAACTAAATATGGGAACTGCCATTAGCCGCAATTCAATTTTCATATGCCGCAACAATTCATAATTGAGGAGCCATCTTTAATTTTAACCGGGTTTTTAAAATATCATTTTGGTCACTGACAGAATGAGTCAAACAAATTTTTTTGCATCAATTTTTTTTTTTTTTTTGACAAAATAAAATACTATTTTAACTTTAAACGAAGGACCTAAGGCAAGAAGGAACTACACGTTCACGTTTTACCTATATATAATTACTACTTGGTATGGTTCGGAAGAAGATATCTTATTTATTAATAAACAGAGATACTTTTGTATTGATATCTTACGTTGATAATATTTATAACGTATTATTTTTATTTCTTTTATAAAATAGCCTAAATAATATTTAATTTACTTACATTATAGTAATTATGTTCACCATAGGGCTTAATAATAAACAATTTAATAGTGGGAGAATTGGCCAATATTTGTTTTGCATAAATTTAAGAACGCCAAAAAACAATGAAACTGTTGAAGACGAGAAACTACACTTGGGCAATTTGGAAATATTGCCAAACAATTCAATATGTGAAATTGTACATTAAATAATGAAAAATACTTTGGAGCTCAAATATTTCAAATTCTGACATTCCTTAAATACAAAGGCTAATCTAACCTGACGATCTGAGGATATGACGGTGCAATCACATTTCGGAGGGTTGTGTTGGCTCTGTATTTTATTAAGTTACATTGTCATCAAAGAGACCCGCTCTCATTTGTTTGAAGCCTCTAACTTGTAAGTAATTCTTCACATGTAGGTAAATAAACTCTACAGAAGAAATCAAGTGCTTACATATTCGTAAAAGGGAAATCTTATTAAATCTGATACCTAAACTCAATATGTCAGATTTAATGTTATTCGTTTTATTTTTCTGAAATGATTCTTATTCACTTTTTCAAATTTGGTTACTTGGAAATCTCTTTCTTTGCATGGCCTTAGTATTATTATTACTTGGGTGATGCACTTATTTATTTAATATTAATAAGGAGGACAATAAAAACTAAGCCACAATACAAAACACCTATAATTTGCGTGAGTTATTGACAGAAACAGGAGATTGGCATAGAACATGCACTTATCATACGTTCTTGCCTATAATCAGCATGAATTATTAACAAAAGCGGGGGGATTTTGCATAAAATATATGGATAATTTACACATGTTTTTTTATTGTTTTCCTGATTCTACCAATCCTTTTTAAAAATATATGTCAAACAAAGACCAGAAGATTGGCTTTAACCAGTTAATACTGTTTAAATATACGCCAATTTTTGTCGCAGTACTTTTCGGAAGGTTACACGATATTAATATCTTTTTAAAGTAGTTTTCAATGGGGATTTGAAGATTGGGATTCCACCGAAAATTTTTAACAGTATCTTTTAAGCTATTATTATGAATACTTTGTCTATTGTAACTCTAAAACCAGATTTTTTTTTCAAAAAAATTACGATGGCTGCTTTTTATTTCAAAATGAAGTTTTCTTTGAAAACTGTTTTAATAATGAAAGAAGAAAGTTTTTTGGGTCTTTAACTATTCATACGACATTGAAAAAGATGAATCGTGATTCTGGATAAACAAACAAGAATTAAGACTGACCAATATGGTGAAATTTTAAAAACAGAAATAGAGGGTGCCAAAGTACAATTTTTTAAAATTGTTGGTGTCATTTCTAAATCAATTTTCATATATATATGTATACATATAGAACTTATATTTCAATTATAAAGTGGTGTTGGCTGAATTTTTTTTTAGAAAAAGGTAATTTATTTTGGCTTTTCAATATTTTTTATACAAAAAATATTAAAGTTTTTAAGATTATTTAGTTGTAACATTTTTTTTAATGGCTTAAATATTGATGGACACATTTAAATTGTATTTGATTTTACAAAAAAGACTTGGTAGGTGTACCTTTTGCAAAAACTCGACTCACCAAAATGGTTTTTCTTGGACGCGGCTCGTCTAACAAAAGTGTAGTGTATTCAGTGTTCCTCATGAGTCACATGACATCGATTGGAAAATAAATCAAATATTTATATTTTTTTATATCACGAACTAGAGATTGGGCACCGTTAACCGTTTAAACATTTAATTTAACTGATTAAACTGTTGAATGCATATGACATCAATGGGAGAATTAATAAAAATAGAATATCCAAATCTTATTCAATTTGATATGCATATTGCTAGAGTTGACATTTGGCCTAGCCCAATTAATGTGTGACAATTTTATATCAAAATGAGAAAATGTTGGCTGTGATGATGGTATGTAATATTTATTGAATTGTTTGTAATATTATATATTTCTTTTGTTGGCAATATTCTAATATGATTAGTATTATCCAATGTTATAAATAACAAATGTCAACTTTTTAATAAAAAAAAAGTTGTTTTTCTTCTAAAATTAATAGATTTATTTCATAAATGCTAAATACTTCTTCAGAAGAATCATTAAATCTGTCACTAAATGTTTCATTGTCTTTTATTTTTTCTTGTTCAGTTTCATTGGAAACTGGTGGTGACAACATAAAATTTGCTCGTTGCTGTTTAATGGCATTTGGAGCTGGTGGTGTTAATAGAACTATAGTTCATCAGCTGTTGATCGGTGGCATTGGTAGCTGATCTTTTCTTGCATAACCTTTTATAATTTTATATTAATAAAATAATTCTTGTTTGTAATGCAAATATTTTCTATTAACCAGTATATGTTTTTTATTAACAAAAATAATAATAAAGAAAACTTCTTGTGCCATGCACAATCTCTTCATTGTGTTAGTTTTTGGCATGATCGACATTATACATCATCTATCGTACGGCAAATGTTTGATTTCTTCATAATTTCTCAAGCGAATGACAGAGCAAGAGTAAGGGAATGAGAAGTGATCGATCGATCGAGTAAAAAAATGAAAGAAAAGAATGCAAGAGTGAGTGTGAACTGTTCATAAAACTCCAATGATCTATGATTAATAAAATGCCTGAATTTGTTACCTGATATATATATGACAAATATGAATGATATAGTTAAATGTAGTTGGATTAAATTAATAACTCTTTTTTTTCAATTATTGTTATCATTACGTGCTGCAAAAAGAATGGTACATGAATTCTAAAATTGATTTCAGAGAATCGGAGGATTTTAGATTATTACATGTAAAAATCATGAAATTATTTAGTAGGCTTTAGAGAATTCCTTTTTTAAAAAAAATAATCGAATTACATAATCTTCGGAACTTAAGCTACAAACTGATATAATTTTTTGTATAGTTTTTTATAATTAATAGATTCGAGGCATCTGAATATTTCTTAGTAGGTGCTCTACAATACTCGAAGGCGGAACATTTTACCATTATGGTTATCGGACACTCATTAAAGGTACGCGGAAAAAAGAATGCAAAAAGATACTAGTGAATTGATGCAATTTATGATTGAAGAATGGTAGAAAGTTCGCCACCGTTTTTTTCGCAGCACACTGTATGTATATCTTTCAACTTTTATTTCGAGTTTACTGTACATAACAGATATGATAATAAAATATCTGCCTTCTTACTTAAAATAAAATCAGAGATAGATTTTTATTTAAAGTAGTTTTACCAAATCTTGCTGCGCATGCAAGAAGCAATTATTTGAGAAAATATTAACTGTTAATTTGCATTTTAAATAATATAAATAGTGATGGTGTTGTAAGTATTTTCATCGTAATATCATTTTTGAAAAAAAAAAAAAATACTCGTAAATATAATATTTTCTAACAGTTTATAAGGATACCGGCTGCAACTTTTGATGATGGTTGCTACCACCTTTGCGTCATATAAAAATGATTGCAACCACTGGTTGCAACCACCTTTACGACCATTTTGTTTCCTTTTTTGGATTGCGACATGGAACACTAACAGTTTATAACATCTCCTTATTCCTTATATTTATTTATAATTTAATTATTCAATCCCAATTTTATAATTAAATATATATATATATATATATATATTCCTTGAAAATAATGCCT